AGGAAAAGGGTGGGAATGTAGTTTGGTGCAGGCGTTATGGAAAACAGTATAGACATTCCTCAAAAGACTGAAAATAGACTTACCATATGATTCAGCAACCACACTCCTGGGCATATATCCAGAGTGAACCTTAATTCAAAAAGACACATGCACCCCAATGATCACAGCAGCACTATTTACAGTAGCCAAGACATGGAAACAACCTAAATGTCCATTGACAGATGACTGGATAAAGAAGCTGTGGTATATTTATACAACAGAATACTACTCAGCCATAAAAATAATAAAATAATGCTATTTGCAGCAACATGGATGGACCTGGAGAATATCATTCTAAGTAAAGTAAGCCAGAAAGAGAGAGAAAAATACCATATGATATCACTTATATGTGGAATCTAAAAAAAAGAAAAATAAAGGACAAATGAACTTATTTACAAAACAGAAACAAACTTACAGACATAGTAAACAAACTTACGGTTACCAGGGGGAAGGGGGGGGAAGGGATAAATTGGGAATTCAAGATTTGCAGATATTAACTACTATATATAAAATAGATAAACAACAAGTTTATACTGTATAGCACAGGGAACCATGTTCAATATCTTGTAGTAACCTATGGTGAAGAAGAGTATGAGAACGAATGTATGTGTGTTCCTATATGACTGAAGTATTGTGCTGTACACCAGAAATTGACACTACATTGTAAACTGACTGTACTTCAATAAAATACATATTTTTAAAAAATGATAGGCTTTTATAGGCAGAAAGGGGAAGGGGCCAGGAAGGAAGTGGATTGTTTCAGGCATGTCACCTTCTTTTGGGGAGGGGGATGTGTCTGTCACACAAATCACCTCACCAGAGCTAATCAGGTGATTCCAGATTGACTAATTAGTAGTCACAGTGTTGGGATAAGCTGAAACTAGTTAGGTTAGATATTAAGTCTTGGTTTGTTGACATAGGTTTAGCACAAATGACTCAATTTGGGGCCTGCTGTTTCATTTTTTTTAAAAACAATATGAACATAACACTGGTGGTACTTTTCTTTAATGAGTGAAAAGCACACATGTAAAGCTCATAACAATCTTGAAAATGGAGTATTAGCCTCAATCCATAGATCAGAATTATCAGACACAACTGAGGGGCTATGGTAGCAGAATTCTAAGATGGCCCCTCAGAGTCCCACCCTTTTGGGTATATGCCCTGTATATGTCCTCTTGACTGTGAACAAATCTTGTAAATATGATGTGCTGTCACTGTAACAATTATTACAATTAACAATTATAACAATTATTATCTTATAAAGCAGAAAAGATTTTGCAGATGTAATGAAGGTCCCTAATCAATTGACTTTGAGTTAATAAAACGGGAGATTATTCTGGGTGGGTCTGAACTAATCAGGTGAGGCCTTAAAAGAAGTCAGAAGAGATTTTAAGGAGAGGAGACTTTCTCCCTGCTGGCCTCGAACAGCCAATAGTAACAACAGAGAAGTGTGTATGATGGGCCACTTGGTAAGAATATGAGAGTGGTCTCTAGCTGATAAAGCTTGTTCCCTATGATAAGTTGCCAAGAAAATGGGACTTCAGTCAAATGGCTGCAAAGAAATGAATTCTGTCAACACACTGAGGGGGTTGGAAGAGGATCTTTTTCCAGTTGAGTCTTCAGATGAGGATGCAGTTGGCTGAGGTTCCCTCAGAGCCTGTGGGACCCTCAGCCAAGACCCCAATTAATCCACTCTGGACTCCTGACACATGGGAACTGAAATAAGAAATTTGTGTCTTTCAAGCTGTTGGGTTTGTGATAATTTGTTGTGCAGATATAGAAAATTTGTACAGGAGCTAACCTCAAACTCAGCAAGTCATGGAGGAATTGTGTCTAGAAAAATCTATGAAAAATATGCTTTTCTTTACTGGTGGGGTTTTCATAGCTTTTAAAACCTTTGCCAACACAATCTGACAAGTGAAGGTGGGTGCACCAACAATCTGAAAACTGCCCCAAACCTAGATTCATCTCCAGAAGAAAACGTAGTGTTTAATAACTTCCTCCTCATACCCTGATATCAAGTAGCACTGATAAGGGCATTTCTAAACATCTTGTGATGTTTATGTCATTAGAATTTTGATGCTGGTTGATGCAAAACAATGGAAAAAATTAAAACAATGGGGATGATTTGGATCAATTTTTCCAGTGTGTACTTATTTCCACTAGATCCATATTTAATGCAATATTTCATGTGTTCTTTTACTGTTTCGTTTGGCTTTTTCTTAAAGGTGAAATGAATTTCCCAAAGGTCATAATGTGATACAGTTTTTAATAATTGAAACAGCTAGGACTTCTTTTTTTTTTTTTTTACCAGAAGGAACTCTTTTTTTCTGAAATCACATTCTGACTAGGTTGCTAAGAAACCAGTTTTTCACTTAAGGCCCAAACCTCTGCTTTGTCCTACGTTTAATTCAGAAACTCTTGTAATAATTGTCTTTTTTTCTCTAATATCTTGGAGAATGTCAACTAGTTAAGGCTATTATGCATAACTGGACTGGCACTGGTGCTGAGAACAGACAAGGGCCACCACTGCCTTCTCTACATGCTCATTTCTCTGTCCCTAGTGGCCAGCCCTGGCCATGCTCAGAATCCTCCAGACTAGTGCATAATAATACGCCTGGTTGCACCGTGTCCATCACTTCACAGCTGTAACTCTTCTGCATCTGTGATGATGATGTCTCATTGTTGTTACATAACTTATGGGCATTGTGGCAAGAGGGTACTGGTGATACATAAGAAATTATACCTAAGTCTTGACTCTGCAAAGCAGATTCTCCAACAGCAATTTGATTTTGCAGGGGTGTCAGGACAACATGTTGAGGCTCTAAGAGGCTTGGGAGATCCCACACTTGGGACTTCTTGAGATCTGGCAGGCCCTCATGATGTCACAATAACATTGCCTCTGATCTGAGGCATGTCTCTCCTAAAGGAGTGGTTGGAGTTAGGGTGCCACACTCACCAGGGCCTCTGTGTTGAACAACATTAGGGAGCCCCATTCACATCATATTCTGTGCAAAGTGCTCTCTGAAATTGTTTCACCTGGGCCCTGATATTTCCTGAACCCCTGCCCTCCTGTGAGATGTCTCCTGGTCCAATTTGCTGAGAACGCGTTCTGTCCAATGGAACTTCCACTAGCTTGTATTAGCATGCTCGTTTTCACCAGGCCTCCCCTCCAGCCCTCTTTGGAGCTACTTTAACTTTCCAGATTTGCCAATATAAAACAATTGGTTATTGTCTTTTTTGAGCCCGTGAGAACCACCTAAGGGGAAGTGATGTACCCCATCTCAAGTCATCCAGGAAGGGGGTTCATGCTGGGGCAGGGTCTGAGCTGGCACACAGTCCCAGGGAGAAGGGTCTCTTCCCTGACCCTAGCCTATGAGGCTCTGGGCTCTAGACTCACCTCTCTGTGCCTGTGGTGCTGGAGCCAACTTCCACACTGCTTTGTCCATGTTTTCTTCAGTATTAATAGCTGTTTATCAACTAGGTTTAAAAGTGTTGAAAAAGTGCCCGTTTGAAAGAAGGTGGTGGTGGGCCAACTGTTCCCCTCCCCCAGCCATGCCTGTGGGGAGTGGGCAGGAGGAGGGACACTGTGGGCGGTGAGGTGGGGTGCATTTCATCCAGTAGGCCGTAAGCAGAGGTGGTGAGACTCCTCTCCAGGGCTCTAATGAAGACGATTAGGGATGTGAATTCATCAAAGGCTCACATCCTGCTGGCCGCCTTCAAAGCATTGCTCTCCATTGCTCTGTGCACACATACCCCCTGGGGATGCCATTAAAGTGCAGATTCTGATTCAGTAGACCTGGGGCTGGCCAGAGAGCCTGCATTCCCACTGAGTGCCCATGTGATGCGGGACGTGAGGCGCTGAGGCTTCAGCGCTGATCACAGTGGGGTCCTTGGATCAGTAGCTAAGGCATCACCCAGAACTGGGCAGAAATGCAGATTCTCAGGCCCACCCAACCCTACTAAACCGGGCCTCTGAGGGGGCGCCCAGCAGTCTGTGGGTTAGCAGGCCCTCCTGGTGATTCTGATGTGAAATTTGAGAACCACTGGCTTCTTCAGAATGCTCGTCAGAGGACCCGCTGTTTGAGATCTGCACCCTCTCAGTTTGTTTCTTAGTGTTTCTTTGCTCATTTAACCACTGGGAGTATCTGTCATCTAGTTTTTTTGTCCTTAGTCCCATCAGCAGTGTCTTTGGTGGCGACAAAAATGGATTGTCTATTAAGGGTGCACCTGCAGAAACTTTAGGAAAAGCTTCATTTGCCATGGAGTGTACTGAGTTGAGGGTTGGGGGCGATACAAAAGAGGTTAAGAATCTCCCTCCATTAAAAACACTCTAATAGCTCTAAGGTCTTGTTAAAACATAGGCTGCTGGGCCACACCCCTGGATTTTCTGACTCAATAGGTCAAGGGTGGGCCCTAAAGACTTTGCAGTTTTGCTAAATTCCCAGGTGATGTTGCAGCTGCTGGTCCAGGAATCATGTTCAAGAACCACCTCTTTGGTGCTTTCAGTCCCAAATGGCCATCTTTTTTCGTGCCTCTCCCTCTCTTGCAGGTAGGCTGGAGAGGATGAGGAGAGGGGACCCTCAGGTGCGGGCGTGTGTGTGCGTGTGTGCAGAAGGAAGTCCACTCTGGGGCCAAACTTTAACCATCTTTATTCCAACGGGTGATGCTTACAGTTATGCGGCTCTATTAATACCCACTGCGGGACCCGGGAAGCGCCTGGGGGAGGCAGATGCTCACTCCTCCTTGGACGTGGGGCTTCTGCACTGCTTTCCCTCTGAAGGAAGGACTGACTTAGAATGTCACCCTTTATGTGCACACAGAATGGCTGCAGTTTAAACACATCAAACGGACATGGTCCTCCCTCTGGAAGGAGAGCCCTGACTCAGTCGCAGCATTAATGGCCAGGTGGGTGTTTGATCTGTAGCACTGGTTCTCAGCTGCCTTATGGGCTGAAAAGAAATGATGCTCATATCCCTCCCTGGATCAATTAAATCAGCATTTCGGGAGGTTGGGTTTGGACCGGAGTCAAGGGCGGAGAATCACTGCTCTACAGACTGAGTGCCACGCAGGGGGCTGGGGGTGGGGTGGGGAACTCGGGTCTCTATTTGCATCTCTTCAGGACCTGGCCTTCAGCAAGAACTTTCTTTGGGGAACAGATATGGGATTCAGAGACGGAGGGAGCATCCCTGGCCCCTGTCCCTGCAATAATTGCCCTAATGTGTCTGCTCACTGCTCTGAAAATAGTGACTTATTTGGCCTTTATGTGAAAGCAGAATAAAAAAGCACATCAAAATAGAGTCATGTCTAAGGGCTTTTTAAGCCATTATGGGATTTAAAAAGAAACTGTGGTGCCCAGCACCACGCACCGCTATGTGCGGCATGACAGAAAGTCATGTGTGTGATATCTGGGTCATCTTGTTAAAAAGGAGGATTTTGACACAGTGCTTGGGCTTTGGAGCTATGTTAAGATGCTAAACTTTGAGACTTGCCTTTACAAAGTAAAATATAGCTCTGTTTTGTGTAGTTACCATGTTTAATATGGAATATCTATATTTCATGTAGATACTTGGAGTTCATATAATACAGAAATAAGTGCTCTTCTCATTGAATTGGAGGCTAAGACCTTTAGACTTGGGGCTGTTTTCTCTTTGCTTTGCCAGGCTGGGGCAACACACAGGTATCAAGGCTGAGAAGACAGCTTTCTGATGATGCAGCCGACCCTGCTTCCGACTAGGGGGTGATCCCCTTCAGGTAATAAACCCACTTGAGGCCGGTTTCACCACTGCCTTCACCGGGAGGGCAGGCCACAATCAGCTTGCTGGTGATGGGAGTTTTGCTGCCCGATGGGTTTCCTTCAAAGTAGACTGTGATGTTGTTGATCTTCTTGGGCCTCACGGAGTCCATGGCGCGGACAGAGAAGGCTGGGTTCTCCACGATGAAGGAGAAGGTGACCGGGTGGTAGAAGACATTCTTGAAGGGGATGACTATGCTGTACCCGGCTCGGATCAGGAAGGGGCCTTGCGGCTTGGGTGGCAGAGCCACTCCGAAGAGGGGGATGATGTACTCCCCGCCTGCAAGCGATGACAGGCTCAGGATGCCCTTGCTCTCGCCCAGGCGGCTGGGCTCAAAGTAGACCTCCACGCTGACCTCCGTGCCGCCCTGAGCCCCTGGGGCTGCAAAAATGACCTTTTCCGTGTGAAAGTCCGGACAGTCGGTCTGAAAGGGGAACAAGTGCACTCGGCTCACATATGACCCTGAAGAGTAAACCAGCAGCTCAAGTCCATCCCCAGACTCTCCGCCCTCCAACATCACGCAACCTAATTCTGTGTGACGTTATAGAACAGCCGTACCCTTATAACTCCCTGGAAGAGTAGGTATTGCTAAGTTTATCCTTATTTTACTACAAAGAAACTGAGGCCGAGAGATGTTAAATACACATGCAGAGGGATGATGTTGGGTGGTGGTCCTTGGTGCTGGTCCCCTAAATCTGCTCTTTTTTCCTTCCATGCAGATGGAAGACCAGACATGCTGGATCCTCCTGGATGGCTGGCACTAGTTATGAACAATAAGTTGTGAGTAGAAGTGCAAGGTGTCCCTTCCACACTAGAGCATTTATTTGCTGGTAAAGTGCCTTTGTGGTCTTTTCACCCATCTGGGTGCTATGACTGGAAACATTCGAGATGGTGGTTGCCCTTTAGCCTGGGTCCGTGAGTGGCTGTGATGAGCAGAATCCCATGCTGACCCTCCCTGAACAGAAAGCACTGAGGAGAGACAAACCTTTGTTGTTTTAAGCCACTGAGATACTGGGGCTGTTTGTTACTACAGCATAACCTTGCTTCTCCTGACAGATGTGAATGATCAAGAGCCTTAGCCTCTTTAGAAACTGTGAATCACTATGTTGTACAACTGAAACTTATATAATATTGTAAGTCAGCTATACCTCAGTTAAAAAGAAAGAGCCTATGCCTCTTGACCATGGCCATGGGACTCTGAGGTTGTTAACTGGGCACACAGCCACCCAGTGTAAGGCCACACCTCCTAGCTTCCCTTGTTGCTAGGTGTGGTCATATGTAGTTTTGGTCAATGGAATGTGAGTGGAAGTGATGTATGCAGCTCCCTCATTTCCCTCCTGTGGCTGGCTGGAGTGTAGACATCACAGTCAGCCATCTTGGTCCACGTGGACCAAAGCAACTTTATATATAGAGGGAAGAGCATCAGGACAGAGGGTCTGGGTATCTGATGTCACGGAGTTGCCATTCAGCCCAAAAATGCTTCTGCCCACAGTTATTTGAGAGAGGAATAAACTTCTATTTTGTTGTTGTTTGGGGTTTCTGTTTTAGTAGTTAATCCTATGTTCAAACTGATTTAATAGGTAACATGTATGGAACATTTACTATGGCCCAGGCTCAGTCTTATATACATATTTAAAACTCCTGGCAGCTATCCTATGAGGTTGGGGTATTACTGCCATTTATAGATATGGTTAGAGTGTTAGTAAATTATTCATACAACAATAAATATTGAAGTGAGGATTCAAATCCAGGTCTGCTGGATATCACAGCCTATAAAGCATGACCACTAAGCTCTAATGTCTCTTTTTATTGACCACTGAGCATGTTGTGGGGAGCTAACTCCCCCCACCCCAACTCCAGCTTGTTAAACTAGAAAATCTGTAAGGAAAAACCCAGGCCTGGCACTATTTGTGTCTAGTTGGGAGTTTCCAACTAGATAGAGCACCTGACTCTGAGTTTCACATTTCTGCATCCCCTGTGTCCCCCTCCCATGATTTCTGAACCCAGACTGCTGGAAAGGGAAAGGCAGAGGGCGGGGCAGGGGCTGCTCACCCTGCAGTAGTATTCTGTCTTCTGTCGGGTGTAATTGGTGAACTTGGCAAAGATGCTCTGGCCGCTGCCAAGAACAGCCTGGAAGTGCACGGGCTTTTCCGGCAGTGCTGGCGTGGCCTTCAAATTGAGCTCATATGGGTAGTAACCTAAATCACTGTTGTGCAGTGTTAATCTTCCAAAGGTTTCTCCAGCTTTCAGGGGCTGGAATTCAAATGAGAATGTGCCCTGCAAGAGAAGACAGAGGCTCCTGTGATACTGAAAGTCCGACCCATCCCTTCTCCCCCAGGGGCCTCAGAGCAGTGTGGTGATAGATGCTCATATTGATCTTGACCCGGGGGAACCTCTGTTCAAACCAGCCCACTTTTCCTCCCCTGGGCCCCTTCCAGGTTCCCCTAGTCCAGATTTTTTGGTATCTGGAATCTCTTTGCATCTAAAAATAGGTACTGGATCCCCTCTTGAGAAGCATAGTTATGGTGATGGGGGTGTGTGGGCTGGAGGAACAGGAGGGCCAAAAAGGTCAGGCAGCTCCTTTTTTGCTCATAGCCAGTCTCTGAACAGCTTCCTGGGTTCTACCATCATTTGGGAAGGCCTTCTTCTCTGTTATCATCCACAGCAAAAGAACCAGAGAATACTGCTTATAGTAGCAAAATGAAGGAAACAGTTTAAATGCATTAGCAGTAAGAGACTGGGTAGAGAAATTATACTTTACCCACTTCAGCAGAATATTATGTAGCCACTAAAAAGGAAAAGACAGAGCTCTAAGCATTGAAACAAAAGGTGTTGATGGTATTTTAAGTAGAAGAAAGAAGGTTCTGGAAATGTATATAAAGCATGAGCTTTTTGGTGTGGAGAAGAGTATGTCTATGTATGTATAGAAAAGAGACAGCAAGGATATACTGAATTGTTATCAATAGTTATCTTAGGGTGGGGAAATGGGATTGTGGGGGCTTTTACTTTCTATTTCACTTACTTTTGTAGCATTAAAATTTTGTTTTTCTCATGAGTAGGTACTGTTTCTTTTTTAAAAAACTAGATCTTATTGAAAAATAAAATAAAAAGGCTATCATTAAAGTTGTGGATATTTATAACAGAAAATAATGCACTACAAAAATTTACAAGATTTTACCACAATTGAAAAATTTAGATGAAAATAAACAAATGTATAAACAAATATAACTTAGAAAAGCAGACTCAAAAAGTGAAAGAAAACCCATATGGTTCTGTAACTATTAAAGAAATTTAATAGTAAAAAAATTCCCCTTAACAAAATTCCAGGATTACAAAGCTTAATCTGTAAGTTCTACCTAGTAGTCTATAGATTCTTCCAGAGAAAAGAAAAAGAGGGACCCTACCTTAACAAACATAATCTTGGTAACTAACAGAATCCAGCAAAGCTAATAGGAGAAAGGAAAACTGGATGCCAGGTTCCCTCCTGAACATATATACAAACATCTAATAAAAATGTTGCCCAACTCTAGCAACATATAAAAAGAGAATATTATATAACCAAGTTGGGTTTATTCCATGAATGAAAAGTTCGTTTACCATTAGAAAAACCAATCAGTTGTCATATTGACAAATTAAAAGGAAAACAATCAAATGAACATCTCAATAGATGCAGTAAAAGCATTTGCTAAAACACAACATCCAATCATAGTGTTTTTTAAAAAAGCTCTTAGCAAACCAGGAATAGAAGGGGACATCCTTAATCTGATAAGGGTTATTAGTAAGAAACCTAAAACAAATGTCACAATAAATGGGAAATTTTGAAAGTTTTCCCTTCAAGATCAGGAATGAGACAAGGATGCATTCTATTGTCTTCCTCATCAACATTGTTCTGGAGGTCCTACATAGCCTGATAAGGTGTGAAAAAAAAGGAATTAAAGGAAAAGGTTTAGACACGAAGAAACAAAATTGTAAATACTTACAGATGATATGACTGTACATCTACAAAATTCAAGAATATATAAATTATTAGTGAATTTTGTTAGCTGTTTGGGTATAAAGTTGATACACAAAAATCAGTTATATTTCTAAATACATACAATAAATAGAAAATGAAAATTAAAAAAGATGCTATTTATAATATCAAAATATACAAAACCTATAAATAAATCTAACAAAGGATGAGTAAGTCCTCCACACAGGAAACAAAAAAAAGTATTATTGAGAGAAACTAAAGAAGACATATAAATGGAGATTTGCTCATGGATTAGAAACCCCAATACTGTAAAGATTCACATTCTCCCTGTGGTACATAGGCTCCAAGATGGCCCCCAGGAATCCCCACGGCCTGGTATTCATACACTGCGTAATCTTCTCCGACACTGACCCAGGGTTGGTCTGTGTGGCCACTGGTACATGGGAGAAGAGATGGCATGTCCCTTCTGAGATGATTAAGAGGGAAAGACTGCGGTTTCTGTTTTGTGCACTCTTTCTCCTTTGCTGCCTCCCTTTCTCTCAGGTCGCTTACTCAAGGTACAAGAATTGTCATGTAGAAAGCAGCTCCAGGGAGAGGCCACATGGTGAGAAACTGAAACTTCCAGCCAACAGCCAGCAGGAACTAAGCCCTTTCTAATGACACATCAGTGAGTGTGGAAGCAGATTATCCAGGCCCAGTCAAACCTTGGGGTGACTAGAGTCCTGGCTGACAACTGACTACATCCTCATGAAAGACCCTGAGCCAAAACCACCCAGTTTAAGCTGCTGCTCTTGGATTCCTGATCCTCAGAAACTGTATAGGTGATAAACTTTCATTTTTTTAAATTGTGGAGTTTTGGGATAATTTTTTATGGATGAACAGAAAACTGAAACATTCTTAAAATAAAAAGCAAGAAATGATAACTGCAAAATAAGGATGGGGTGAGGGAGGGCAGGTCCTGTGAAAGGAGAGAGGTTTCTTGGGAG